CTTTGCCGTGATTTCAAGTCGTTGACCGCGAGCAGCCGAGTACCTCCAAACCGACTTTAGCATTGCAAAATGTATCTTTCGCATGCTCGAGGGCGAGCTCTATGCCAAGAATAAACAATACGTACGGCGGCAGATAATATATTGCCTATTGCAAGTACGTGGGATGGTTGTGCTGCTGGATATACGTTGGCTCTGGTGGGCTGACCAAGGATAACAGGAAGATGACAATCCCACGCTTCACATTGTCGCCGCTTTCCTCTTGTACGATGGTCGAAATAGCAGAGATGACGAGGTCTTTGAGATGATGCATTCCGAGGGCACGTTTGCGAGGCTGGTTGAGTTGGTGCAAAAGGAGAGTGTTCAGGAAGAAACATCATTGCATCAGCTGCTGCTGCAATTGCTGTACGAGTCTTCGCGTATTCAGCGATTGACCTACGATGATCTCAGTACGTCTATCATATTTGTCTTACAACCTGCTGCTCACGGCTAATGCTAACATTGGGGTGTAGTGGCTGTGAATGATGCTTTCATTCTTTACCTTTTGGGGATTATAGAAGGTGCCTCTGATGACGCGGATGATCCGTATCACTACCCCGTTATTCGCGTGCTGGTTGGTCTACTTCCAAATACTTCAAATTCCTACGCTGACTGTTGGATAGCTGGTTTTGAACGAACAGTATCTGGTGGCATCTACCACTCGTTACAGCGACGGACGGACTGGCATAACAAATCGCGTCATCAAAGCTATATCCACCCACGGCATGACTTACAAGACCTTTGGATGTAATCTGATTCTTCTTCTGAACCGGGAGTCGGAGACGTCCCTTCAACTTCTTATTCTCAAAGTGCTTTACCTTCTCTTCGGCAATCCCTCGACCGCCGAATACTTTTACACAAACGATCTTCACGTGTTGGTCGACGTCATTCTGCGCAACCTCATCGATCTCCCCCACGACTCGGCCGCTGCAAACGCATTACGACATACATATCTCCGCGTACTCCATCCGATACTCTTGCACAGCCAGATCAGCCGACCGCCCCATTACAAACGCGACGAACTACTGCGTCTCCTCCGCCTCCTCGTATCAAGTGGTAACCATTTCGCGCCCGTAGACGAGACGACCGTTCGACTCGTGAATCGATGTACGAGCGTAGAGTGGCTTCAGCCTGCTGCTGCCGAGTCGCCTACAAACGGCAATGGTAGCAGACAGTCTCCGGTCGAGCAACTAGCAATGGGCCAGAAAGAGTACGCACGGAGAGCATTGGGTATGACTGTGCAAGGCGGAAATGAAAGTTCAACCAGTGTCTTGGAAATCGCGGGCCACACTGCTCAACCTGGAGTTCAGACGCCGAGTATGACGAAGCATGCGCGATGATTTGGGGAGAAACAAGTGTAGGGGGGTGTGTGTTTGTATGGGTTTGTTTCGTGTCCGGTGTGTTTTAATTATTTCATGTTGTGAATTTGGCTTTTCGTGAAAGGGGTTTCGAGCAAACGCTTCTTCTTTCTGTGAGCGAGTTGAGATATCCACTTGCATTATCCTTTATGAGTATATTGTGGTGAGAAGGCTTTTTCTTTCTTTCAGCAGTTCAGATTCCTTTGATTGATTCCGACCAAGTATAGCGCGAAATTCTCATTTCATCACGCACATCTCCGTCTTCTCGTCATATGACCTTTTGCTCAACCCTCCGATCCAGGCGGAAACAAGGGACCAAGCCCCGCTAAAAGGATCGACATGGCGGAAATGTCACGCGCCAAGACCTGTTGGGGCGCGGCGATTACTGTACTACTTCCATTCCACGTGAGTGTATGAAGGTATTTTTTCTCATCCACCTGGAGAAGGGGGTGGGGGAGTGTAGGGTGGGTTGGGTATAAGTGATATCGTCACGATCTTGGGCTGCATACAGGATGTATGTATGTAATCACAAATTCAGAAGTGCCGAGATCAAGTGGCCTTAATTTATCGGTGAGATGTTGTGTTACGCGTTGTATACCGGTACCAGAAGGTTGCAGATGAGCGAGAGAGTTTTTTTTTATAAGGGCTTGGCTTGACTGAGCTGGAATGGTAGTAAGGTGGAGATTGTCATATTGTGCGTTATTTGCTTGCCATTTTTTTCCCCCAAGGGAGAAGGCAATATGGGAGAATGTTGAAAAGCACTACATATCTCTTCCCCCGTCTTTTATCGGATATACCCAGTCATTAGATCGGTATGCAAGTCTAAAGTTGAGTAGAGTCATTTACACTTTCCTCGGTATTCGATCATCCGGTTATTTCATTCCTGGTGGTTGTGTAGTACGTGAGCATGTGAGTGAGTTTGAGGCTGCACCATGTACGGTACTCCAAAACAACCAAAGCTAGCGTAAGCCTTTGCCAATGATACGCTACGAGGTACGCCAAGGGACATGTAGAAACACCGGCGGAAAACGGTATACAAGTGATCTACATAACGCTTTTCCAGCGTGACTAAATGACTCGGGTCATTCTTTTGCTTTGGGTCCCGTTGTAGCGGTTAGTTTGCTAGGCCCAGAGTTACTTTTGAGGCATCCTTGCCACCCATAGTAGGCGTGGCGCTAATTTTGAGTTGCCCTTTCTGAGTATGTTTCCCCCTTTCCCTCTGCCTTACATCTTGCAGCCATGACCGCCATTGCCGAGACGATTGAGCCGTTAAGCCATCGTGTGCGTTACTTTGTGGTTTGGCTTACGGCGCAGTTCTAAACCCCGGGAGGAATGGTGTGTACCGGATACACCGCCCCGACTGTTATCACACGTGCGGATGTAGATGCAGTAGTCCGCGGGCGGGAGATATATGGCAAGTCAAACGGCGTCGAAGGTTACATCGATGCAAGTGGTGCAACATGAGTAGTGGGTGTTGGCAACTGCCAAAATCTCTGGACGCATCATTATACTCGTGGCGTTTCTTGGGATGCAGTCGCAGTGTATATGGCTTTTGATTATGAAAGTATACCGAGAAAATGCTGTATACAGTAATGTTAGCCTGTATGCATGGTTTGTTTCATTGAGCGATGGCGGGTCTGTGGCACCTTGGTAAATACAGGAACAAGTGTATCCGGGAAAATATGTTAATGGTTCCCAGAAATAAATGTATCACAGAATTTAAATTAAAAAAAGGGAGACTTAACAATGCCGAACTTTGTGATACCGCAGAACATCCTGCATCTCCGACAGCACCTGCATTGGCATCATCGATTGAACCGGTGGTTGAGAATTCACGGTCCAAACGGTCGGCACCGTAAACTTAATAGATGGTTGTCCATCACGGTTCACTCCCCACCTTTAGCCGGACTGTATCAAATGCCAATGGTCATTAGTACCAGTGCTGCCTCGTCTGTGCACTAGAACGAGGGATCTGCCATCAGTCCGCCCTTTCGGACAAACAAGCACCTGTATGTTATTGTGGCTGGAGAGCAACACCAAATTACTCTGCAAACTATCTGGACATCTTGGTAGCAAAACCCAAGATTCCAACATCCAACATCAACCAAACTCTCTCCTTCCGTCACACCGGTACACCGGCACCAAACAGCCAAAAACAAACTCTTCGCCGTCCGCTCACCACCCCACAGCGACACACGTTTTCATATCTCGACACTTGTTTTTCCATCCCTCACCGGCTGATTGCCGCCCCCACACCAGCCAAGGCACTCAACAAAGACCAGCACAAAACGTAATCACCAGACACAGGCACGCCGTTCACCCATGCCGAAACAAACGTGTACACACACTCACACAAAAAACCAAGCAAGCAGCCCAGCCACCCCCCCGACCAAACTTCACACCTACACTACACGTCCCACTCCCCTTCCAACGGCCACATCATCCACCCCGTGTCCCCCCGACAATGATGCCATACCCACGTGCCCCAAAACCACCGTATTCGCCTTCCCTTCTTCTTCTTCTTCTTCTCTTAGAAAAAGAAAAGAAAGCAGGAAAACGAAAGTACCATCGTGCACTGATACATTGAATACGTAAATACCATACACGTCCAAACACACACACACACACACACACACCCATCGTTCACCCTCCTTCGCTTACAGCCAACTTCGGATTCGCAAAGCAGGACAATTCGCCTTTTTTGCTTCTTTTTTTACTGTATACAATACCTGTCATATTTGGTATATGTGACTAAACCGCTTTTTTTTTCGTTTTTTTCGCGTTTAGATGAGCGCAAAGTCAAGACAAAAAAAAAGCACGTTGTTGTAGATATTTGGGTGGTTTGGCCTTTCCCGGGTTCGCCCCGGGGATGAATTCTAAACCCGTGGCATGTGAAAATGCGGATGAGAGGGGAGAAAAAAAAGTGCCGTTGTTTTGGTTCTTTTCTGCACATGCAGGATAAAGTGGTGATGGTGGGTGTGATATGGGAGGTTGTTTGGAAGCGAGCAATTGCGCGGCGGGCGCGTGGTTTGTTTACTGGACCGCTGAAGCAGGGAAAGAAAGCGCTTGGTGTTGCGGCCCAAGCTTGGCGGAGGAGCCTGGACGGGGCGAGAAGGTGGGAGTGTAAAGCAAATGCGAAGAATGCCGGAGCGAAAGATGGTGTAATTGCTTCAGGTGGTGAGCACAGATGCGCCGGATAGAAGGTCATCACGATCGCAAACACAAATGCCATTTCCAAAATTAAAAGTTTCGATTTCTAAATTCGTACAATCCGTAAACTGATGCTCAACCCATGTATCGAGGAGCTCCCTGCGCTTACGTTGTCTCGAAAAAAAAAGAGCGTGCTTTTCTCGTGGACCAAGACATGTTCGTAAGTGAATGGGAAAGCCCTCGATGTGTCCTCCAGGGAAACCGAAAAAGAGTCCGCCAAAGAACAAGAAAAACAACAGAGTCGTGACAAGCAAAACTGTCCAGTAAACCCTACGTGTGTCTATGTGAAAAGTCGTGTCTCGTGTCGAACAACGCTTCACCAATCGCGGAGGAAAATACAGTTATAACCGCAAAAGGAAAGGGGGGAATCATAAAGAAGAAGAAGAAAAAAAGACTTTAGGCCATGCGGCCTTGGTGGTCGCAAATGCTCTCGGAAGATGCATTTCGCGAGACGGCGTTGCTGGGAACACGAGTTGGGGCCTGTGACAATGGATCAGGCGATGAATCACTACTTTTCCGCTTCTCAGACATCTCGGATTTGCCGTATTTGAGCTTGAGGATTTGCCCAACACGCTGGCCATTGCTGCATGGAAGGTACCAGCGTGACACGAGCATGCAAGCACATGAGAGCAACAGATTAGTGCCGGACCACAACTGAACGGTGAGGTAGGTCTGGTAACGGGTGATGAGGTGTCCAGCAATAATGGGACCGGTGAGGGCTGGGATTGCAGCAAAGGTGTACATCATGCCGGTCCAGTGGCCAAGTTTCTTCTTTGCAAAGTGTCTAGTATCCGGTGCAGTGTAAGAGCAGTTGAGAATATTGCCGATAGATGCTGGGGGCAGGCCAATAACCATGCCAGAGAAGACGCCAAACACGACACAGAATGCGAGAGCAGCTGTCTCCGACCCTGCGAGTGTCCAGAGAAGCAGTGTCAGCAAGGAAGCGGTCAACTGAGAGCCGATGTGCATGTTGACGGCACCAATTTTGTCTGAGAAATGAGCTAGAAGCATACGTCCAACGGTTGAGGCACCGTTGACGATGACCAGAAGCCAGAATGTCTGCAAAGGTTGATCGGTCGGGTTCTTGGGAGCGATTGGCGACCTGACCCGTTCACGAGTGCCAAATCCGCGGACTGATGCCCACTGATAGACGTTAACTGATGAACTGGTTATGGAGAGGGGAAAATACTTACTTCCTCAAGATTGAAGAAGACAGGATAGAAGCCAAAGAACATGAAAGCAATACCAGCGGTGAACCAGCACCAGGATTTGTTACGGAAAGCTTCCATGTCAACCCATGTCCTGATATTGCACCATGTCTGTGGTGTATGATGCTCGTGGTCTGGGTCTGGAGTGCAGAAGATGAACGAGAAGATGCAAGTCACCGAAGTGAGAGTCGCAACATAACGGACAGCGTCGTTGAAACCAACAGCGTCGATGAGGTAACGAAGCATGGTGGGGTAGATTACACCAGCTACGCTAGCACCGCAGGCAACGTAGCCTACGGCAAGTCCTCTGCGTTTGGGGAACCACGTGGAAGCAACTGGTGTCAAGTTAGCGGTAGTTTCGATACGAATCAATGAAGTCTGCTTACCTTGAGAGCTAGATACAAAGAAAGTTGCCATGCCGATGCCAACAACAAAGCCCTGAGTGGCCCAAATAGCGCCAAAGCTTGCCATGCCTTCGATGTCACTGGGGTGTACAACACTAAGCATGAAGAGACCAAACGGTACGAGGAACGTGCCGCATCCAATCACCTTGCGGAAATGTCCGGCATCTAGTAGTCGTCCAACGACGTTGGAGAACAACAGTACAAGTGCAGACTCAGTCGATCCCACCAAGTTCAGTTCGAGCTGGTCAACTCCTCGTAGGGAGTGCCCGACGTAGTATGAAGACCAAGTACCATAAGCGTTTACAAGGCCCCAAGAGTTGAACATGAGAAAGAAGCAACCTAGCAGGCATGCATAAGCACGCCACGAGCGCGGCCACTCAGCCTCATGCAGTGCGTCGAGGGAGGTTATGGGGGATTCGTTTCGCATAGAGCTGGTGGCAGTTGGAGCTTCCGAGAGTGGCAGGGTTCTCTCGCTGGGCTTGTAGCCCTGCTGGTAAGGGAATTGGAATTTTTTCATGGTGAGGGTAGTTCCTGTTCCTCCAGAAAGGTGAGGGGGGAAGCGGAAAGAATGAACTGAAGTCGAGGAAAGCGTAGATGTGCTATGTAACAAGGTGCTCAACACAGATAGTATGTGTTGGAGGGGACGCGCTCGAGTGCGCGCACTAATAGTGGGATGTTACAGTTTGACCCAAGAGTCAAAACGGTGGGAGGAAAGATATAAGTACAATACGTAGGCTCAAGCCAGTCATGGATGTGGGACAAGGGCCTAAGGCACCGATTGATAAAGGGTTCTTTTACGGCTCCACTTCTGCTAAACACACCCGCAGCTCCCGCGTAAAGTGTGGCTGGCTTTTCCATAGTGACGTGGTAGTCAAACCGGCCGTGTGATGGAGGGATTGAGTGCCGTCACGCACAAGCACCACAAGGGTGCAAGACCAAGAGAAGCCAAGGCAAATACGGGCTTTGGGAGTCCGCCATCGACAGGGTATATTACATTACCTTCCTAGAGACTCCCGGTTCGTGCGGCCCAAAGCTCAGAGCTAGTCTAAGTGCTGATTTGGTGGTAATGATCTGCGGACGAGGACGTTCCAGCGCTGGCTGCGTTTGGGCTCCCACGCAGTCGACTGTTGTTGCGAAGCGGCGCCACTTGCAACAAGCGATAAGGCTGTTCTCTCCGTGCTGTTTGCGACCTGACTCGTCATCTCATGGGTGCTGTGCGCTACACTCAGCGGCACTGCGCGGAACTGGGTGCAGCTAACCACGGTACGTAGTTTGTGTAGCGATGCCATGATTCCCTTTACAATCGTCGACATTGCTCGCAGGCTGTGCATCCTTGGCCTGTTCCACAAAAACAAAGGTGCCAATGGGTCGTGGACGTTGTGTAGAGTGTGATAGGGGTTGAGGCGCCAAACAAAGTTGCGTTGGACGGCGGAGCGGGTTGTCGTCGCTTGGCAGCGTGTCAGCGGGAGGCTCGAGGATGCGGCTCGATTGGATCGGTAGGATGCACAAGGGCCAAGAAGTGCCCAAGTAATGATGTACAATTCCGCCTTGGCCTGGTCCACATATTTTGCCAGGGTTGAAATTGAGTCTCCTGCAGCTATTACCGCTGGCGACTGCTCGAGCTCTGGGCAGCATCAGCACATGAGCACACTCGACGTTGGCCATACGCAGGCAAGGTGA